CAACAATCAACTTTTTATGCATAATATGCATTTTTCTATTATCCTTCTGAAATTTTGCACAACTTGGAGTATATAAAGGATGATTATGTTCTTCTTTGAAATGAGTTACAACATACTTTCCAGCATCATATCTCATACATATGTGAGCATTGCATCCTACACGAGTGACTAAACGTTTCCTAGTAATACGAACTTTTCCTTCTTCATAAACTGTTTGTTGAGCAATAGGTTTTCTTATTGCCCTAAAACCTTCCTTATTGCAAACTCCATATTGAAAAGCAATTATATCTTTGTTATTCTTCTTCCTTTTAGTAGTAGATTTCCTAGAAGTAAACCCAGCGGCATTTGCATATGCTTTATAAAAACTAAGACCCTCTTCAGGATCTTTAAATATCATCCCCAAACTAGGTTTTAACTCCTCGGGAACACTTGGAATCCATTCCTTAGTGGTACCACCAGGGCTAAATGATCCAACAACCTCTAGAGTACGATAAATATCACCAACTGCATTAGAACATGAAAGTAAACATTAGAACATAAAAATAAACTTTATAATATAAAGAGAAAGATACATAAAAAACTTTAGAACATACAGAGAAAACTTTAGAACATCAAAGATAAACTTTATAACATCAAGGATAAACTTTAGAACATATAAAATCAGGGACATACTTATAACATAGTGAATTACTTTATAACATACATAATAAAATTTACAATAAAGTGAAAAAATTAAACTAGAAGGTTAACTTTAGAACATACAATGAAAGTAAACATTAGAACATAAAAAGTAAAATTTAAAATTAGAAGGTAAACTTTAGAACATAGAATGAAAGTTTTACAATATAAAGAGAGAGATATATAGAAAACTTTAGAACATACAGAGAAAACTTCAGAACATTACAGATAAATGTTAGAACATAGTAAAGAAACTTTAGAACATGTAAGTAAATTGAAATTAAAACATTGAAAACAATAAAATTACCTGAATGAGTAACACAGGAAGAAGGATAATTAGGTTGCACACCATCTAAATCCATCAATATGCATAAACCTATTTTGAAAAACACAAATTGTAGCAAAAAAGCAACCAGAAATTAAAATCCATTAAAAATCAAAAATCTGGAAAACAAAATAGGATAAAATCGAAAAAGATGTTGAAAAACTCAAGCAAAGGAAAAAAACAGAAAAATCTGGAAATAAAAAATCTGGAAATAAGCAAAGGAAATAAAATCTAGAAATAAAATTTGGAAAAATCTGGAAATTGAAGAAGAAAAAGAAAACTAGAAAACGAAATTGATGAAATTAATGAAAAAACTCAAACAATGCTCTACCCGTTGAGCTAGTAGGCTAATGTATATAAAACACTTGAACTAGAGGAAAAACTACTAACAACTATATGAGATAATCACAAAAGTAATTTTTTTTTTGTTTAATCATATCCTTTTGCACTTCTAAACACTATCTTTAGCATCGTTTATTGTAATTTGATGATCGATTACTTGCATTAAGGTGGGTTCATTATATTGGCTATATAATCAATCTATCATTAGTAGTCCTTTAAAGCAAAAGTTATCCCAAGTTAAGACTAGTGCTAATTAAACAAGCTTTGACAAACATGCTAAGATTGTCTACTTTAGAACACAATGAATTACTTTAGAACATAAAGAGTAAACTTAATATATGCTAAATAAAAGTTTAGAACATGCTAAGATAGTTAAATAATAGTTTAGAATATAATGAATTACTTTAGAACACAGTGAATTACTTTAGAACACAAAGAGTAAACTTTATAACATAGATGGAAAATTTTAGAACATAGAAGGAAAACTTTAGAACATCTTGAATTATTTTAGAACATAATGAATTACTTTATGTTCTAAATTTCCTTATAACATAGTGAATTATGTTCTAAATTTGATTTGCTTAGAACGTAGTAAATTACTTTATGTTCTAAATTTGTTTAGAACATAGCTATGTTCTAAATTTGCTTTTGCTTAGAACATAGTGAACTATATAAAATCTAGAAATAATAAAATTAAAAAAAAAAGGAAAAGGAAAAACCACCACCACCCTTTTCCTCTTCCCAGCCACCAAATTCGCCGCCGTCGCTACCCTAGCCGCCACCTAACCTTTCTCTACCCAGCCAACCCTAACCTCGCCGGTGAACAGATCCCCTGTGCCGGAAAATTTTGAGAAAAAATCAAAATAAGAACAAACAATTCGAACAATCAAACAATCGAATTGATAAATAATCGAGCAAAATAAATATACATCGAATAGAAAATCGCCAAAAACAAAATCGAATAGAAAATTCGCAAAAAATCGCAAAAATATTGACGAAAACATGAATTAATCAGTAAAAATCGAACATAAATCGCAGCAAAAATTGAGAAATAAACGCATCAAAATCGCAGCATACAAATCGCAAAAATCAGGGAAATATTTGAGAAAAAATCGCATAAAAACGCAACAAAATCACATCAAATTGCAGCAAAAAATCGCATCAAAATCGCATAAAATTCGTAGCAAAATCGCAGCAAAATATTCGCTAAACAATATTGAGAACAATTACATAGAAAATGCTCAAAATAATCGCATGAAATTAATCGCATCAAAATTGCATGAAAAATCATTAAATTTAAAACAAATCTGATTATAAAATTAATAAACTTACAATAATTAATCCAAAATCTGTGAAAATATCGTGATGAATTTGATGAACTTTCGCCAATCTGTTGAACTGAGGAGAGGGAGAAAGCTGAGAATTTTAGAGAGAGAAAAAGAATTTGAAGGAAGAGGAAAAAGAATTTGAATAAACTCCTTCAAATTACAAAAATGTCATTACTAATCATTCATTTTGAGCGGTCAGATCAAGCTAATTCCACGGTCCAGATTAGTTCTTATATATAATGGGTTCTTATATAGAGGAGGGTTCTTATATGAGCCTTCCTCTATATATATATATATATATATATATATATATATATATATATATATATATATATATATATAATCTGATTTTTGAAATAAATGGATAACAAATCTTATCTAAAATCCAAAATAATAATTAAGTTTTAAAAATGTTTTTGGCGCCAAATTCAAATATCATTTGGCTCCAAAATTAAAATAGAAAATAATTTACTGAAATACCCTTTTTAGAAAATTATTAATAATTAATTAATTAGAAAATACGTCTAAAAAATATGGGGTATTACAGTTACAATTCCTTACAAAGGCCTTGTTTGGTTGCAATGGAGAATAGATTTCCACGGTACTCCGTAATTTACAATTCATGAGAAATTATTTCACTCGTGCAATTCTTACGAATTTTGAGTGCCCATGAAAAATTAGCGTAATCAAACAACACCAAAATATATAAAAAAAAAAAAAAGTATGTCCTAGAAAAGGGCACTCTTTGTTACTCCGCATTTTTGAACTACTACTAGAAAATTCAAATCTATTTACTATGCAAAGTTGCTCTTGCTTGATGAGAGACTAGGTACTTAGGTAGGTGATTCTTTTATTTTGAGAGTAATTCATGAGAAGATCAATTTCTCATACCATTAATAGCTAAGCAAGTATTGTCAAAAAAAAAAAATAGCTAAGCAAGCATGTCAACTAATAATTTCATATTGTTCATGACTAGTACAAGTGTGGAGTTTTGCGTTAAACATACATTTATGTCACCAGTATAGTGAAATTCATGAAAGATAAAGAGGTAAGAAATATAAATATGTTTCTTTCAAAAATTATAAATGGTGTTACTTTAACGATTCTATTTTTATTTACTCTTCAAGAAAATAAAATGAATACAATTTTTTTTTTTTTTTTGACAACTGAAAAGTACAATTTATTATGTCTGCTTGCATAAGCTGGTTTGACTATATGCATGCATTATTTAATTTGTAATGATGTTTGGTAAATAGTCATTAGTTGTTACTCTTAAATAGTAAAACAACTTTTATTTATTTATTATTATTATTATGTACATTCAGTTTAACATAAAAAACTTTTAATGTGATTTTTACATTTTTCTGGAATATTGAGATGATTTATCTAGACAGCCTTGTTTGGTAGGTAATTAGTTGTTACCTGGTTGATATACCTGATTGTATTAATTGGTTATACTAGCTGGTTATATTAGATGATTTGACTAACTATTTGTAAATAAATGATTGTGTAAAAAGTGTTTGGCAATTAGCTTTTTACTGTTAGTTGGTTCAGTATATTTAATACTCAAAAAGTTAATATCCAGTAAGCTAAATTCAAAAGGCTCTTATAATGAGCTTTTTCTAAAAAAAGCCACCCCAAAAAGCTCTTTAGTAAGCTATTTTACCAAACACCAAAATTAGCTTTTTAAAATGGACAAACCTCTAATAATGTTTAATAAATAAGCAAAAAGCTTTTCAAAAAACTCTTTATCAAATGAGGTAGGGCTGAGCAAAACTACCCGAAAAATTGAAAACCCGATCCATAACCGTTATTAGGGTACTCGATCCGATAACCATTAATGGTTTGGGTAGCCGTCCCGATAATTTGTTATCGGGTATGATTATTGGGTACCATTTTAAAGTTAACGGTTACCCGATCCGATTCGATTAGCAATTTTTTGTTTTTTTTCCCCACTTAAATCTATTTTTCTAAAATCTAAACTCTTACTTTACTTCATAATCACTTTATAATATCAATGATTAGTAATATTATTAATAATTTGGTCAAGATCATGTGGTATTGTTGTTAATTAGTGTTAAATAATATCATAAAATAACTACATTATTAAATATAATTATCATTATTGGATATCTTATTAGGTATCCGATAACCGATCTGAAAATCCGGGTATCCGAAATTCGGGTACCCGAACTTATCGGTTCAATTTATGGATATCACTTTTATTGATATTAGTTATCGGTTATCCAAACCGTTAATACTAATGATACAGATACCCGTTCCATGTTGACCGCTAAAACGAGGTCATGGTAATTAAAATAACCTACCATAATTCCATAAACTCATGTTTAAGCACGTACTCGTAAAGTCGTACTATACTACTATCCTTCTCATTCCCTAAACCAGTACTCTGTAATCCTCAACACTTGATTTTACCGCTTATTCTCTCTCTCCAAAATTCAAATTTGAAAAAATAAACACGTTACACTTCAAAGTTCAAATCCATACAATCATTCAGACAAACTCCTCCCAAATCCGATTATCATCCATAAAAAAGCGCCCAGTAAAACTTCCGACGCCATTTTCTTCATCATCTTCAACAATGGCGTCTGAAAATCGGCAGCCGCCATCTCCATCCCCTAACATTCCTTCATTTCCTTCTTCTTCTTCCTCACTCTTCAAAGACATTTCCAATTTCAAAACCCCAAAACCCAAAACCTCTTCTTCTAGAATCTTCCAATCTTCTACTCCCAGATTCTACACTGCTTCCAAACAAATGCAAACCCCTTCATCTTCTCTCTCCTCCTCCACCGCCCGCCGTCGTCGCCGCCCGTCTTCACCGGCTGCGAGTAAACTCCGGCAGTTCGAGCTTGAGGTGGCGCAGTCGTCGCGGAAGGAGGAAGTTAAGAAGGAGAGATCGATGAAGTCTTTAGGCAAGTCGCTCACTGCTTGGCTCAATTTTTTGTTTGAAAACCCTAGGTCTTGCGGTTGCGACGAAGGCGGCGCCGGCGACGGAGGAGGAGGCGACGCCGCCGGTGATGGTGGAAGGAGAGGAGGGAAGAGAGAGAATGTGTTTGGTGGTGGTGTTGGCGGTGGTTGGAGGTTGCCGAAGAGGCAGAGGGAGGAAGGGGGTGGTTTCATGGAGGAGGATCGCCGGGAGGTTTTGAGTTCGAAGAAGAGGTTCGGGTTTTTGTGGAAGTCGTTACGAGAGGTTTGTAGTTTTGACGATTTGGAGGTGAGGATGAGGGAGTATTTGAGTTTGGAGGGGTGTATGGAGGTTTTCACTGCAATGTCTCAAGTTGCTAAGGTGTGCTTCTTAAGTCCTAATGTCTTATTAATGTTTATGTGTCACATTTTTTTTTTATTATCATCATGGTGTTTTCTTATCGATGTTTCTCGATTACTTCTTTTGTTTGTTCGATATTAGTCATATTACCACGGTATGTTTTAGTGTATGGATTGAGTTTGGGAATAAAACACACGACTTAGTTTTGTAATACTAGCCACGAGTGTAACATGTATATCGTATCATTTTGCACATATGTGAGTATTTCTAGATATTAGGATGCTTGAATTTATAGATCTTTACATGTTGATTGAAGGTTAATTGTCTAGCTTGCATTATAGATTTGTAATTGCCTAGCATTAGCATATGCTCCAACTGAGAAAGATGTAGCTTAATATGATAAGGTAGTTTTGGTAATGTAGAATTGAAATGTAAGAATACAAATGGAATTTTATATTATAGTATTCCTAGAATGAATTAGACCAATTTACCAGTATTAAAGTTTTTGGACAATTTTATATTATGGATTGTAGTAAACATTAATCTACATGAACTGACGAATTGTTGTTCCTTTGTTATAAATGGAAGTACCAACGGAACTTAATGTTAGTATGGTATGACATGAATAATTCTACATAATGCAAGGAATATGGAATTAACGGAAGCCTTTTGTCATAGAAATACAGAAAGCCTGCAAATTGTATAAAATTTTGTCGAAATCATGCTCTTGAATGAAAATATATAGAATAAATGGAAATGTGAACAATAACTCCTGCATTCTGATTTCTGAAACACGGTTGAGAAACTAATTGTCTGTTTAGTTGGATTGATGTTGTATGCTATTTAGTGAATAGTTCTGAACTTCTGATCAGGTAAAAAATCGTTGCAGTAACGATTACTGAGGATACTTCTTAATTTTCAGTATGGGAGTAAAAGTTGTTACTTTGTTTCTTGTCTAATGATCCAATCAAATTGTTAACTTTTCCAGTTGTCTAGGAAATTATTCTCACTTTCATATGCTGCCTTGTTTCTCAGAATATTGATGAAGGCAGGCTTAAAATGAAGGCACATTGTCCCATAGTCACTGATGTTGGAATAAGAGAGAAGGCTATCAAAGTTCTTATGAGCTACAATCCAGTTTGGCTTCAGATTGGACTGTACATTATCTTTGGTGGTGACTCTTTGTTGCCTAAGGAAGATTCTAGTAGGGAAGACGATATTGCATTCCTGAAGATGGTGATTGAGAAACAGTTGTTCTCACATGCGGGTCTGGCAAAAACTTATGCATATAATAAGTTGGTTGATGGCATATACAGGCCAGGGTACTTCGAAACTCTAGGCAATGTCATATTAAAGAGATTTTTGTTGCTTGTTCTTATACTTGATAGAGGTAAATGCCAGAGTAGCTTGCCTATCAAATATGGTATTGATGGGCTAGATGGTGGTTCTCCCTTGTTGTTCAATGTGAAATCTAACATCAAATCAAGTCGACAATTGATAAACGGTAAGAGTATTAGTTATGGCTGTTTTCTTACTTGAGTTAGTGAGCCTGACATCATTCCTAAGCTGACTTTTCCTGTTTGATGGCAATAATCAGATTTCTTATCATCTGAAGTCATGCATGGAGAGGGTAATCTACTTGCACATCTAGTGATTTTGGGGTACAAAGTATCATACCAACAGGTAAGTACTAAGCAGCTTTTTCTACTGTTATGATCCCAGTATCCTATTAGTAATTACTATCATTATGGCTGTAAAAGTACCTTGTATCAACCCTTAGAACTAAGTTAACACTGCTTGAAAGAATGGAGATCACGGAAGAAGAAATTGTATAGAGAAAGAAGCATGCGGGTGTGAGTCCCAACTTGAGAGAAAAAGTGGTGAGATAAACATAAAGCTGATATGTTAACTTAGGTCTCAGATAGAGGGAGTATAATTCTTAAGTTAATGGTTTATTTTGCACTTAGGATTCTATAGTATCTATAAGCAGTGTGCTTTATTATCTTTTTAAACAACATCAATGCAGTATATCAAGTAAATGTTTAAGATGAAAGATAAATGTCTATGTGCAGAATCCTCTCATTGAGTATGACTTCAGAATTACAGATCTATTTCAAGATATTCAGGATGGTGTGAGGCTATGTCGAGCTATTCAGCTCTTACAACATGACTCCTCTATTCTACTGGTTAGACTTTCTTAAAACATAGCAACTTACATTGTAGGCTTTCTGGGTATTATGTTAACTTTCTATTCTATTCTTGACATGCTGTATATTGAGCAGAAAGTGGTGCTTCCATCAGATACTAATAAGAAGAAATTGGCAAATTGTCGCACTGCGCTGCAATATCTCAAGCAGGCAGGTGTTCCCCTGCTTGATGATGATGGTACAATGATAGTCGGAGAGGATGTTGCTAATGGAGACAAGGAACTTGTGCTTTCCTTGTTGTGGAATGTATTTGTTCATCTGCAGGTCTGTGTTATCTGTGGGTCACATGCCTTGAGGAGAAATGGTTTATAAGTTGACATGATTTTTTGCATGTTCAATTATATAATTCTAAAAGTAAAATTATAAACTTAAACATGATAATATGTAGTCATTTGCTTTCTTGACAAGGTAGCATTCAGCATTTGCCCTGCCTTTTGTCTTCCCTGCAGCTACCTCGACTTGTAACTAAGAAGATTTTGTCAGAGGAAATTCCTAAAATCAGTCAAGCTCATACTGTATGTATCCTAATTTTATTACTTAATATTCAGTTTCCTGAACAATAGCCATGTTTGTGACTACCTTTGCCATCCATTTTACAGGAACTCATGGATGTAGATACGAGTAATCATTTAGATATGCTCCTACACTGGATGAAGGTAGGGCTACTTAACCTTTGTGTATCCAAAGGCATAGTTAGTTTCTAAATTGGAGATCAACCAGTGACTTGAGTCAATTCTATGTGATGTTTACCTTTGTCATATTTGCTACAACATCTGTCATGTCAAAACAGATGGATTTTTTTAGTAAAGTTCTAAGTGAGTATTAGGAAATTAGGATGATATTTGTTTTGGAATTTATGCTCTGATATCAAGTTAAATATTGTAGATATTAAGATGCTAAGAAGTATTGAATGTTGGCACAGAAGGTTGGTGATTTTGTCTCTATTGTTCTATGACTTCTATCACCATTTCTTGCCCTCAAGTCATGGTTGTGTACTTTGTGCGTCATCTCTTCAGGAACTGATACCCTTATTTAGATTATGCTTCTTTTTTTTTTTTTTTTTTGAGAGGTTTGTTGTGATGTGTTTTTTTGATAACCAAGCTGGAATATGTACTTATGTTGTCGCAGGCAATCTGTGGAAACTATGATGTCAAGATGGAAAGTCTGTCTTCATTGGTTGATGGGAAAGCTATGTGGTGCCTGCTGGACTTCTATTTCCGGAAGGAACTTCATTGTTCTTGTTCAATTAAGGTATGCTTTTCTTTTTCTATGGTTGGTTATATGATATTTCACTTTTTCTGCTTTCTTTTGGTCATTAATCTCACACTATACTTTCTTACAGGACCTCAATGATACAAATGAAGGATCAATTGTGTCTATGCGAGATACTTCAGATGCAGTACACAACTTTGTCTTATCTCAGAAGTTGACAACATTGTTGGGAAATTTTCCTGAGGTGAATGCTTTACTTCAGTCAAAATGTGGTCATATATGATTTGAAAGAAGACATTTCATTTTGTATGGAGTGGCTTGTAGCTATTCTTTTTATTACCTTCCACAAAGGTTTCAGTTATATCTGTCATCACTCCATGAAGGCAGTGACTCAAGACCATGAAAGAAAAACAATTTTTTTAGAATTAGAACATAACACAGCTCCTGCAATCTACTCCAAAATTTAACACCTTACAGTTGCCTAATGCAACTAACCTTATTTCTTAAGTGTAACACAGTTAGGTGGTATCACACATTGCATAACATTTCTACCCGCATATACATTCCATTATTTCACTTAATTTTTGTTTATTCGATTATATTATTGACTGTTCTTATCACTTCAGCTTTGAATAGATTCTCCATATTCTCATTCCAGGTCTTGCAAATATGTGACATACTTGAGTACAATGGCGCCTGTAATGACAGGAGTGTGATCATATTATTGGTCTTCTTGTCCTCCCAATTGCTTGTCAAGAAAAGTAAGGTAATGTCAGTGCTTCAAAAATTCTGTCTTCTAAGTCATGATATGAGACTTATGTTGAAAACGACTCTCAACAGGATAAACTAAACTTCCACAAGCTCATGGGATGCCAGTGCCAAAATCCAGAGAGGAAAAGGTGGTCCATGAGTTCCGAAACTACATGGCATAAAGAAAGGGAACGGTCTGCTGGAGGTTGTTTCATTTGATTAATGACTTTTTATGTAGTTTGTAAGCTGCTGTTAGCACACTATATACTATGCATGAAGTTGTAGATTTTGGAACCTTTGACAGTGTCACTTTTGCTTTTCTAAGATTCTGGGATTCTATGCAGCAATTGAAAAGATGATCAATCTTCTCTGATTTCATTCTTTTCACCTAACTGTTTGAATTAAATTTAGATGATGGAATGAAGTTTAAAGCAGTCCAGGCCTGGTGGCAAGAAATGGCCAAACGAAATAGTGATGGCGTTAATCAATCAGATGCTCTTGCTATCCTGCTCCCCTCTGCTGAAAATTGCATCTTTGAAATTTGGAAAGGTGATTATTAACAATCATGTGCTTTCCATTTTCTAACTTGTTATCTTATCTTCTGCTAATACTTTTACTCTTTCAGCCAATGTATTGTTTTTTTTTTTGTTTTTTTTTGCTTCTTTTGGGCTTTAAAGTATTGTGAACTCTACATGGAAAAACCTGGTTTAGTTACTGAAGTTCTGCGATGTAAGCCTCCTTATCATATGTCTTAAAGTTTGTTTCTGTTGACCTTTTGCAGTGAATGCTGCTTTAATTATACAGAGCCATGTCAGGAGAGTGGTTGAACGCAAGAAATATTTGAAGATGAAGCAATCAGCGCTGAAAATTCAGCATGCTTGGAAGCAATTCCTTGCCAGTGAGTACTGGCAGACTCGGTTTTCAGCTGCTACTATCATTCAGAGGCATGTGCGTGGCTGGATACTCAGAAGAAGATTCCTGAGGCAAAAGCAAGCGGCTCTTCAGATTCAAAGTGTTCTTCGCTCCATGAGATATTTGAAGGCTTTTCATGAATATAGTATAGCAACCAAATCCGCTATCATAGTTCAATCTCATGTTCGGGGGTTTATTGCTCGTAGAGACGCTTGTAGACATAGGAACTGCATTCTTCTGGTGCAAGTAAGTTTGAGTAGACAAGTATTTAAAAGAAAGTTTTGCAGGCCCTTCCTTCCATTGATAATTCTCCATTTACTATTTTTCAAGCAGATGTTGCTAACAATTGATGCAACCTTTTTCATGCTTGTGCTATCTGTTTGGTGTGATTATGAAGCTTCTTCTCATCACCTTGCATGACTGTTGGGCAATGTTAATACCTGTTGTCAATAGTAACCATTTTTTGTATTTGTAATTGCAGAGTTATTGCCGTTGTTGGTTGGCTAGGACAAGCTTTCTTCGTAAAAAAGAAGCAGCATTAAGAATACAAAATGCCTTTAGGGTTAAGATGTGCCGGTATGCATTTCATCGCAATAGGGATGCTGCAACTGAAATCCAACGCCTTATCAGGGGAAAGATTTCACGAAATAGACTCTTAGGTTTCTGAAGCATTCACTCTTTTAATAAGCTCCGTGTCCTTTACTTAATCTTTACAAGTTTCCACTGACAATCTGAGATAACTTTGATGTTGAGCATTTGTATGAAAATTGGGTTATGCAGGTTCTTCCTCCCTTCGTGTAGCTGCTTCTGGTCACACTACTCTTACTTCAAGCTACAGGTCATACAGCACTGAATTAAGTATAGTTTTAGATGCAATTGTGAAGCTGCAAAGGTGGTGGAAAAGCGTTTTAGAATACAAATTGAGAAAAGAAGCAGCAGTCGTTATTCAGTATTATATTCGTGGATTTCTCAGTCGGCAAAAAGCAATTAAAGAGAGACGTCATGCCATTACTATTCAAGTAAGATTGAATCCTTTACTAAAATGTTCACTGGAATTTTTTTCTTAATGGAATATTTTGATGTTTGGACTATTAACTTCCAATTTAGTTTCCTGTAACTCTCAGTTTGGAGTTTAAACACTAGCTGGAATATGATCTTATGTTTGACCTTGTGTTGTTGTGTTGTTTGTGGCTAACTGAGGATGGTGTAATGTGTAACCAATGCATACAAAGAAGCATCCCCTGCTAACTATATTCTTTTGGAATGAAAATTAGCTTTGCTATACCAATTTTCTTGATGAGTAGTTTGTATTGTGTAGGCACACTGGAAGGGCTACCTTGCAAGGAAACATGCAAAAGAGCAACTTATTGATCTGCGCTTGAGAATACAGAAGTCTGCTGCCACTGTAGAAGATAGAATGCGTATTATGAATAGACTAATAGCAGCACTAAAGGAGCTAAAAAGCATGAAAAATGTTAGCGGCATACTTCATAATTGTGCAACTCTGAGTGAGTTTCTTACACTGTGACCACCCCTTCTCCCTCCCCCTCAATTGAATTAGCTTTAGTTATGTTATTCAGTAACAAAATATAATGTGTTTCCTACATATGCTCACAGACATGGCAACTACACATTCTCAGAAATGTTGTGAGCGGCTTGTAGAAGAAGGAGCAATCGAAATTTTGCTGTATCAAATAACTGCAGTCACCCGAAGCATACCAGATCAGGAAGTTATGAAACACTGCTTATCTACTCTCCGAAACCTTTCAAGATATGCACATTTAGCTGATGTGCTTGTTGCCCATCGAGGATCCATTGAAACCATCCTTCGAGAGTTTCTAAGGTTGGTATATCATGTCATTTACAGCTTAGAATTCCTTTTCTTCCTGGATGTTTTTGGGGGGTTCTTAAGCTGTCTACTAAGTTGGCAAATCTGAATCTGATTCAGGAACAAGGAAGAAGGCTATTTCATTGCTTGTGAGCTATTGAAGAACTTGTGTACACGCCCAACAAGTGTTGAAGCAACACGCGGTTTGTCTTCCATGTTGAAGCGACTCCAAGCCCTTGTGGACGATCTTACCAGAAAAGCCAACCATGAGAAGAGGTTAATTTTGTTTGTTCCTTATAATCATTTTTAAAGATAACAAGCCAACCAAGTTCTCAACTGTCTTGATTTGTTTTCGAGTTAATACTAAGAATATAGTAATGCATATGCAGGAAGCCTCGAGCTGCGGCTGCACGAGACACCACAGAGCGAAGATTAAGAGAGGCAGTTGAACTGCTGAATTTGATTACATGTGGGCTGAACAGTTCAAGGCCTTAAAAGCATTAAACTAGTTGTTTAAGAAACCAAGTGCAACTGTAGAATTTGTTGTAGGACAACTCTAATTTTTTTTTTTTAGTTTTCTTGGAGGTTCTATACCACTGCACTATTTGTGCATATATTAGAAATTTGTTGAAAGAGTACAATTAACAAAAAGTTTTAGTGTTCATATTTCAGGAAATCTGCATTCATATGCTGATATACTATGTATATATTTCCTTACCTTTGTTAACCGAATTCGTAACTTGATTTATTATTGACACTCTTGTCAGCCATATTTCCTTATCTTAGTGTTAATTCTGAAGTAACTAAAGATTTAGGAACGCATTACCCCAATTCGGATTCAGTTGTTTCGCAGATACTTATTTTTTGATGTGAAAATCATACACATTTAACATAAGCAGCTTCTTATTGATATTACATTAGTTAGCTAATGCAGCAAGGAGAGGGAACAATACAGAGAAAGAAACAATAGCCAGCTCTAACTTTGTTTATTCTTTATTTAGAAGCAGTGGGAGTTTCTTAAGCTGCAACTTGATTGGCATTTTGGGCGATTTACAGTTGTTTAGCGTAGTCATTTAAAGTTCAACCGCGCAAGTGGAGCTTTTTTTGGATGATCACAAATGATTAGTGGTGTACAAGTACAAGTTAGCTCACGTTGGCCGCCAACAACGAATCTGTTGAACAAGATTCTGCACTCTATAATAATCAATAGCAAACAATTCCACAACACACTCTCTTGCACGTCTTCACTGTCTGTTTTATAAGTAGCCTGTTAGCTATTGTTACACTTGAGCATACGGATGCTAAACCGGTATGTAACGCAGTAACATCACTGTCTCGACGTCCTTTAGATACACAAGTGTACAATAGAGTTTATAAGCGAAATTTACCCCCAAGAGAAAAGTCTGATTCTAAAATGAGAGACCCAATACATATTTGCTGACAAAAACAAAACTTGGTGAAAATGATACTCCTAGTTTGCATTTGGCAAAAAAAAAAAAAAAAAAAAAAAAAAAAAAAAAAAAAAAAAAAAAAAAAAAAAACAAGAAAGGTTCAAAATAATTAAATAAATTAGATTCCTAGTGGGAACTCTAATCAACTGAAGTATGGACCACTTGATCCATTAACAGATTCCCAATATCAGAAGTTGTTGAAAGTTGGATAGATTTTGTCTTCCTCTTTCATTTTCAGAGGGCCCAATTTAAATTAATAAAGCATTTCAGCCTTGTCTTATGATAAATTTATCCAAAAAAAGAAACTGTAACACAGAGTATTATTACTATTAGTATTATTGTTGTTGTGACTTGTGAGATCCAAGTAAATACTCGGGATTTTATTTTATTAAGAAATGACCTATTATATTTCGGCTGAAGAACCCAGGGTAGTTTTTAACATCTCCCAAGTATAGAACGGTATCAAAAAGCCATGGAATTTTGTAGAACAATTGCTTAAATTCAACATATCGAAACAATTAAACTAACACATTCATTTGTAGAGAAACCAAATATCAAATGCGAAATGCTACATAATAAATAATTTAAGCAGCCCTTGCAGTAATTTCTAGTCTATTAACTAAAACAGCAGGATCAATGAAAAAACCTCTCCTAGGCACAGTTACTGTAAGAACACCATCCTCATACCCAGCTGATATTCCATCAAGATCAACTCTTCCCGGAAGCCGGAACTTTTTCATGAACCTCCTCGGAGGATCAACGGTGTCATCACTGGCCTCGGTTCGTATTATTAGGTACTTTAAGTCCTCTAGTTCCACCTTAATGTCTTCTTTCCTCACCCCTGTCATAACCAAATCACCAAGAGAGAATCATATAACCACATAACATAACAACCAGAACTAAAGGGCTCATTTGGGATCACTGTTAGTTTTTGGATTTTAGAAGTTATATGTTGTATGATTATATCATTTATTGAATTCAAAATAGCTATACTATTTTAACTAACTATGAAGTGGGAACTATTATTTCTGGTTAGCCATACTAATTCTGATTTCAGCTTAAGGTGAAGTGTACAATGAATAATTTCCCATAATCTTGGAGATTGATTTATTATAAATTTCCTAAGATGGGGCACATTTAAGATAGTATGCAGATGAACTTCACAAGCTAAAACAAAAAAGGACTAAGGGATTGATGACTAATGGCCAAGTTTGGCGAGATTCAGATGTACACAATCTTACGTAGTACACGAAGTATTTCACTAAATAATGCAGAGGGAAAAAGAATGTATAGTTTAGGTACCTGGAAGGTCAGCAGAGTAGACATGAGAATCAGGAGTTTCTCTCCAGTGTACATAGTTTTCAGGCTTATGGAAGTATGGTAAGAACATGTATGGATTGTAAAGAATGTCCCAAGAATAAGGATGAAATGGGGAAATCTCCATTCTTATTGATTTGATTTGTTTTGGTTTTTTGAGGTTAATGGTATGCGAATGCAGAGACTAACAGTAGGGTTCTGTTAAGGAGGGGCACAAGGATTTGGGAGGGTGTCCTTTTTTATAGGCCAAGTTGGGAGGTGGATGTGGTATCAACATCAAAGCTTACAAGTTGTAGATTTGGTAATCGAGTTGTTTAATTTTTACTTTTTCTGTCCGAAATTAATTGTTTCGGTGTTTCAATCTCCATATGGAGTGATTAAGTATTCTTCATAATTTCACTTAAAATACTCTTTTATACAAGTTGTCTTCTTTTAGGATAACTATTTCGGATATTTCAAATACGCTTGTAGATACATATATGAGTAACACAACACCGCTATATGAGTCCACAACCAGAAGTCCACAAGGAGTAATGTTTTATAATATAAAAAATATAAAAAAAAATTCAATGCCCAACTACGTATAAGGAAAGATATTTTTGGGAGGTGAGGACCAGAAAGATTGGTGGCTTATACAAAATGCCAGTTTTGCCCCTAGATTTTTTATCCCGATTTTCAATATCTACACATTTGAAAAAGAGGTACCATGTGCTAGTTATCTGGAAACACTGAAATAGTAAATTTAAGTAAAGTTCAGTATCCCTTGGTTTCATGTGTCCATTCGCTTTTGGGTAAGGCCTGCTGCTGTCAATTATGCAGTAAAAGCATTTTATGTAACAATGTAACATAAAGTACTACAAGGAAATTCAGGCAGCAAGCTTCAGAAATTAAAACACTAAATTTCAGAAATTCAAGCAGCAAGCTTCAGAAATCAAAAGCTTCAGTAACGTATATTGCAGAGAAACACATATAGTTAAAGCAGTACATAATGGATCCATGGAAAGGGCCGGTTTCGATAGGTCATGTGTGGTTGTTTTTGTGCGGCTAAGTTGGAAAAGGATTTAGGAAAATATGTTACTGTAATTTAGTGTAGTCACGACTATGTTACTTTGACTCTTCTATTTATCTTAAGTCTCTGACTTGACACTCATACTAACTTGAGACATCGATCACCCTGAAAGTTCAATAAAGATCAAGTTTTTTGTAGAAAAAATCAAGATAGAAGGAAAGCAAAGAGAGAGTTGTGTAATATATGCTCGGAAATGGGCTTGAGATATGATTTTAATCAGGATTAGCAGACGAATCTATATAAAATGTGTGTTACTGTATCTAGTATCTTCTAGTAATGTGACTGAACATGTGAAGAAATATTTTTGATCTATTCCTCATCCCTCTATGCTTCCATAGTTCCATACCCAATTTCTAGGACAGGTTGCGAGGTCAAAGTTTATAAACCGTGGTGTGTCTGATACTTGTACATATTCCCATGAAACTGATGTGTATGAGTGAAATAGTCGTGCAAACAGATTTTAATAAGCACAGTGAACTGATTACTAGCATAAGAAATCAATCACCAGAAGACCTGAGGTCTAAGCAAGTCATATCTCAGAGCATTTTATCTAAGAAGTAGATAATACAATGAGTGCTGTTGAGAAATTATTTTTATTGCATTCAGACACCTCTCTGTCTAATGAAGCTCCAAGCACAGCAAGATGTGGTATCAAAGTGTATGGATCCGGAGCATACTTTTTTGTGCAAGTGTATATTTATTATAATATCAGACCATAGAGGAACAAACATTGGCTACCTCCCTGGCTTATATTTCAAAGTCTATACCGACTATACATATAACTTAGGCATCCAAATACTAATGTTCAGTATCAGCAGTTCCTTACTTCCTGACTTCAAAAAACTGGTCAACGGCACGCATGCCATTTGATATGAATATATAAAACTACTAGTATAAAAATGTATTCTAGAGACATTATTTCATAGCAATTCTTCAATAGGTTTGGATTATTGTCACAGGTTTGACAACCAGAACTCAATCAACTAAAACTATCATCCATCAGATCACCAAAATAGGAAACTCTATAAGAATATAAGCAGCAAGTTAAATGACTAACTAAAACTTATCAGAAAAAGAAAATGGTCTCCATGAAGATTTATCAACTCGATGAAGCCCTATAAAGAAAATTGTTTTTTCTACATGAAAATAACTAGAATATCTAATGTTTCATTCCACCAAATGGAGTAGTACAGTAGTCATGCATACGATACAATAACAATGTATTCAAATTCAATCATGTTCCACTAATCATACTGTGAACTACAAGTTTATTGAGAGGTACCTTAAAGCTTATATCTTTATCATGGATTTTCCATCATATTAAAAATGACAATCCGATTACGCACAATATTAAGTCATTGTAGTCAACGCAAGCAGACAAAGCAATTACTGTAAGATGGCACATTTGCTAAAAGTCTTCTGGAGAACGGAAAGGAATAGGAATGACAGGATGAGTGATAAGCGGGGCAGCTGAACGAAGAACATGCTTAACAATTGTACAAAAAAATTCAGACTGGTTGATAAAAAATGCAGTTACGCCCATGGATTTGAATCATTTGATCAACTCAAGAGCTCCACCCCAACTTATATTGCTCTCTAATTTACAGTTCAATGCAACAATGACACGAGGAAAAAGCAAGTAGGGATAAAAGTATTCTCATTGGAAGCTCCTCTTGTCTTTATTTTATGGCTTTGTACAGGCCACACATGCCCTTATGAGACTCCTTCCAATGTGCAGCTTCTGGTAATTAGGGAAACAATAAACTATCGCACAAAGACCTACTGCAAGAAAAAGACTAATCAGTGCGAAATTCTCTCACACATTGCACATCGCCAAAGTATCTTCTAGTATGCTTTTTATGTCAGAAAATGGTCTTCACTGGTTGGTTCTGTATACTCGGTGGTGGTTGAGTTGGCTGAAGAAAAGGATTTTTCCTCATAAGCCTGACCAGGTGGATGTGAAACTGTCACTGCTACAATATCATTGCCCTTGGCCATCCCTGCAGGCCATTGAACATCCACTGTCTCAATAAATGGCTCAAAACGCATAAATTGAGACCATTTGGTTGTGGCTTGCACATCTTCTTGTAGCAAAGGGTGAACCAAAGTCATACCTCTCATGGAAGCATACACAAATCTAAGCTCCTCAAACATTGGATTCCTATATCTAAGCTCACCATCAGAATTGCAACACACAACATCGAAAACAGGAAAGTACTTGGTTCCTTCAAGAGCCAAAGACTTGATCATTTTCTTGTGACAAGGAAACATCAAGGACTCTTTCTCAAAGGTCACCCTCATAATCTCAGTATTCGGGGCAGGTACAATTTCTCTTAGCTTCGTTGCCTCCTGAGCATCATTCTCAGATTGATATAGATAAAACGCTAGATCCCCACCATCCCCCCCAATAAATTGGACACAGGGAAATGGCTGCACTCTGCCAGGCCACTCAGAGTTTTTGCCAACCCTAACACCAAAGAAATGCCCGGGCCGTAATCGCCTCCATGGATCAGTCCTATATAGAGCTGCACCAGCTCTATAGAGTGACTTGATGAAAGAAACAGTCACACCCTCCACTTTCATCAAGCAAGTACTAGATGCAGGACCAAGTCCTGGCCCAGATCCAAATTGCTCATGGAATCTACCAACCAAGTTCTTCAAATGCACATCCATATCAACTTCAAACCCCTACTAAAAGATCACTGAAAATTCAAAAATTCAACAAAACAATAATGTCCTCAGAATAATGCAGCTCATCATCCAAATCAAAATCAACAATATCAATACAAATTCAAAGAACAATGAAAACCCCAGAAATGTAATAGCAGAATTACACTTTCCAGGTTCCAAAATCCCATCTTTTTATAACTAAACAAGTGACATTCATTCTCAAAAGAATTACAAATTAACGAATACCCAGAAAGCCAATTTTCATAAATGTTACAACCCAGATGCCAAAATTTAGTCCCTTTTAAGTAAAGCAGTAAGATTTTAGAGTGATAAATAATATACTTATAATAAACTAGTACTCAAACAAATCAAATAGAACAACAATGATTGAAATGGCTATAAGATAAGCAATTAAATTAAACGGAAGAGTGTGAGGATTAGTACCAGATTTCAGTTGAAGAAGAACAAAGCCTTGCAATTTTCTTGATGAAAAATCCTATGAACTACATACTGTAGATATTGGTGTTTTTTACCTCTCCGAATTGAGAAAAAGGAGGGGGGAAAATCTACCATATTGAGAGTGTCAAAACAGAGCTGTTAAAATAGGTCAGCTGCTGTAATACAGTACTAAGGGTTTGTTTGGTTCACTAAGTTGGAATGGATTAGTATGGATTCTGGGTGGTATGGATTCTATATCCCATACCAATCTAATTATTTGGTTTAATCATGGAATGGATACTCATACTTAATAGTATGGATAATGAAACCTTAGGGGAGGTGGGTATGAAATTCCAAGGGAATAAGGTGGACTTAGAATCCCCATGAGATTTCATACTTAAATAGCCAACCAAACAAATAAAACTATCAAGAAGTTCAACCAAACAGCCCCTAATAGTGACCAAATTAAATTAAAGTCAATAAGATATTCATGGGTCAATAAGATATTCGTAGGTCAATTTTTTTTGAGGTAATCTTTGTTGCTGTTTGGTTGACTTATTTTCTTATGGGCATTCAAAATTCCCATGAATTTTATTTCGACTTTTTGTTTGGTTGACAAAAAAAAAAAAAAAAAAAAAAGTAAAAATGGAGGCAATGACAATTTAGGGGAATTTTGACTTCCCTCAAAATATGGGATTTCACTTACCCAATAGGTAAGTTACAATTCCTATGAGAATTTACTTCATTTTCAACCAAACAAACTTGATGAATTCCCATAATTTTGATGAAGGAATTTAATTCCTACAAATTGAAATTTTATGGGAATTTATACTTCCCTAATAAACCAAACGACCCTTTATTTTTTTTAAGGAAAGGTACACGATACTATTAAGTCTAAGTATCCTCTAATGATGGTATGAAAGACTACCTTTTCGTTTTGAGGGGATGGTATGAATTATAAAAGACTACCTACTTAAGTTTAAGTAAAAAACTTTTTTTTTTTCGGGTATAAAAAAGTTAATTTAAGTGAAAAATTTATCAAATATAAGTCAGAAAACAAAACCTTATACTGTTCTAAAAGATATCTATAGGCCAATGTTTGTTTCTTAATATAGATAACAAAAATCAAACTTTGGCTTATTATTTAAGTAGTGGCGAAGTAAGTTTTAGTACATTCAGTTTTTGATATTTTCATTTAGATTCACTTATTTGGACATAATAATTAGTTTGTATGTCCTTCATTTAAACATATACACCAACAAAATATCAAATGAGAGAACGTGAATCAACTAAAATAGAACTGAATAAGTATTTTGTAATATGAACAATAATTTTTTCACAGATGCCTAATTAAAGCGGAATTTCATTAAATTATTGTAAGACAGATTTAATTACCCTTATATACTACAAAAGTTACCATTTTTCTAACATAAATTTTTCCCTTTTAAAACACTTATAATGTATTAAATTTATTATGTTAGCTTTCATAGCATGTATTTATTAGGAATGACACTTTAAAATATAATCAAACTCATTAAAATTTAAAAGTAATCCAGGGATTATACTTACCGTAAAAATTGTTAAAATTACCTTTAAATTAACCGTTTTACAATAAAATTAACGTAAACCCGTCTTGTACAACACTTTGTAATTTTTAAATTATTTTTTTTACAGGGAAACAAAACAAGTAACAATAATAATTGTACTCCAATAATGCCCTTTCCATGATTCAATTTTATTTTTTTTATTTGGAAAAACAATTTCCTTACCAAAAGTGGTTAAGATTCAGACAGCCATTCATTATTACGGCCCAAAATCTTAGCCCAAATAAGTAAAACAAAGAGAGGCCCATAACTTCAATATAAAATAATTGGCGCTTCTCATACTCAAAATATCTCCTCTTTCTTCCTCCTCCTCCCATTTTCTCTCTCCTAGGGTTTTTCTCTCTCCTCTTTCAACGTCAAATCGACAATGATGCAACCAGGACAACAAGGTATGGTAGCTCCACCACCATCAATGGCGGCTTCGCAACCTTCCATGGATCAGAGCTACCATCAACAGCAGCAGATTCAGCTTTTGCAGCAACAGCAATACCAGCAACAATGGATGGCGCAGCAGGCTCCGCAACAGCAACAGCAACAGCAGGCTTCGCAACAACCGCAGCAGCAGTATCAGCAACAGCCTGCTGCTACCGCTGAGGACGTTCGTACGCTTTGGATTGGAGATCTGCAGTATTGGATGGATGAGAATTATATTCGTAATTGTTTCGCACATACCGGCGAGGTATATTGAATCGCATTTGAATTTTTGTTGATTTTCATCGATTTTTTATTCCTGATTTTTGTTGTGAATTTGCTGTTTATCTTAGGTATTCTGTTTGATTAAGGTTATGGAATTATTTGATCTGTTCATGTTTCTTATGTAATTAAGGTTATGGAAATATACGATCTGTTTGATTTAGGTGTAATTTTTGGCAGCTTATGTAATCATTGATTCTAGTATAAGGTTGTAAATTTGTTATTGCTTTTTCCTTGTCGAAGGTTTTCTGTTTGATTGAAGTTGTGAAAATGTATGATCTGTTCATGTTGTGATGATTCGATTAATTTTTAGCCGTTATGTAATAATTGATTGTAGTGTAGGATTAGCAATGTCCTGTGTTTGACTATATGTATAAAATAGGGAAGCGTTTAGGTTTTTATGATGTTGTCTGGAGGTTTTAGATTGTTAGCATTGACTGCCTGACTGGTCATTGATGGAGAGGGAAGGTACTAATGAGAGATCTTACTTGGTGTTTTTCTGTGGCGGTGATTGAGGAGATTATATTGTTGTAAATTCCGTATATACTAGTCTAGAGAGACCTTGATTTTTGACTTGTATTTCTTCTTTATATTGAAGATACTGTTTTTTTAGGGCGGTTGTCTTTTATTTGTGGATCTTGTTAACATTCTTTTTTACTGATGTTATTTAACAAGTCCAAGCTTTAATTAGGTGGCTTTGATTGCCATAGTTTGTAATTACTCAAAGTATAAGGATTATATCTGGTGGAGTCTGTAAGAGAGGGTTCTTTAAATTTTAAAATCATTTTTTTTTGGGAGGCAAATTAGCATCAATAGTTCTTTGATTTGGTTTCTGATTGGTATGACTGATCACATAATATGTTTATTTCATGTGTCAAAGTGTCTGCTTCCATGCTACTGCTTATTTTTTTTCACAAGCTTACGTGTGTTTTGTATATTCACCACTAATATTACCTAATCTTGCAGCTTTCCAATGTCAAAATCATTCGTAATAAGCAAACCATGCAGTCAGAGTGCTATGGATTTCTTGAGTTCACCACTCATGCTGCTGCTGAGAGAATTCTGCAGACATACAATAACACCCTGATGCCAAATGTTGAGCAAAACTACAGATTGAATTGGGCTTTCTATGGATCTGGTGAGAAACGGGGAGAAGATGCATCTGATTATACAATTTTTGTTGGTGACTTAGCTACAGATGTTACTGATTACACATTACAAGAGACTTTTAGAGTTCGCTACCCCTCAGTTAAAGGTGCTAAGGTGGTGATGGATAGGCTTACTGGTAGGGCAAAGGGCTATGGATTTGTTCGTTTCAGTGATGAAAGTGAACAACTACGTGCCATGTCAGAGATGAATGGAATGATGTGTTCAGGTCGTGCAATGCGTATTGGAGCTGCTGCTAACAAGAAAAATGTTGGTGGAACAGGTATTTGCTAACATTGGGCAGTGTGTATTGTAATATGAATGTCAAGAGTTAATTAATTCTGCATGCATGAACTTGTTGAGTTTTGTATTGATTCCTCCTTTTGTTGTTTATATTAGTCCGAACATAAAGTTGGTAAGGTTGAAATTATGGTGATTGCTTTTGCTCTATGTTGGTTTGTCATTATAGTTTTATTTGGGTCTCCTACATTCAGTTTTTCTCTTGAAGATGCGCAGAAATTCAGTTCCAGTGCTTTCCTTTCAGATTTGGGAATTATTAATTCTAAATTGAAAATCTTATAGAACTCCCATTGTCTCAAAGCAGGGTGTCAAGAGGCTCTACCATTTAGGGGCCTGGGACTGAATTCAGCCGAAATGGTTACCCCCTTAATACGTTGCCTTGTGTAGGTCAGTAATGTCATAAATTTTCCATTTACAGCAGTTTCCAGTGCTAAAAGTTATTCTTCCATTCAGTTTAGTATATTATCCTTTTTACAGCTATCAGTTAAGTTCAATTTCATTACAATTTAGGATGTCAATTTTTGGCATTTCTTTCGCTTTAGCTTAATACGCTACCGTGTGTAGGTCAGTAATGTGTCATAAATTTTCCATTCATTCTTCCTTTCAGTTTTGTATATTATCCTTTTTAAAGCTATCAATTCAGTTCAATTTCATTACAATATAGGATGCCAATTTTTGGCATTTCGTTCGCATTAGCTTTTTCTTAATGCTCCTTTGCCCTCCTTTATAAATATCATACTCTAGTGCAATTCTTATAAGTGTTAACTCCTTGATGTAAGATCTTGTACTCTTTTTCTTCTTCTGTTGTCAAGAGATGCCCTGTCTGCGTTGCTTCTCTATTTTTTATTTTTAAATAAAAACACAAAAAGATGTACACGAGTCTGTGGTCTAATATAGTTATGTACCTTTCCGTCAAAAAATAAAAATAAAAATATAGTTATGTACCTCTTATCGGTAGCATTGTTTGGATTATTTTGGTTCTTAGATTATTGTCATATCCTTGGTGAGCATAACTACCCGTTTATTTCATAGCAATTTTGGGATTTATTTCAGTGCTCTAAATAAATATTCAAAGTATGTATTAGTTGGTCATAAATAATGTGTATGCCCTTATTTTTGTTCTGTTCAATGGTGATGGATTCTTTGGAATTTGTTTGCTAAATGTTTTCTGTGGTCACTATATTTGTGACTTGAGGTGGTGTGATTTTACCTTCTGGTGATAATAAATAATCCATACGGCTTTTAGGTCATTCTTTTAGTTGATGAGCTTGGTCTTTGGCTCTTTCCATATGTCTGCTGGTATTTTGCAAGAGTTCCTTTTGTTTTTTTGTTATAATGTTCTGTTTTGCCTGTTCCCGAAAAAACTTACTTTGGGGGTTTTACTGAGTATTATTAAGCCTACTAACTTTTCATTTTCTGTCCCCTTCTATTTTGTGACCTTTGCTTTTGCACTCTTTTTAAAGATTGTAAAAGTAGAGAGAAAATTATTGGACGGCAATAAATATGGAAAAATTAAACCTTACCAATAGAGTGTATGTTTATTAATAGAGACTAAAAAAAAAAAGTTGTTGCAAATATAAAATGACAATGGAGTATTAATTTCATCACTGCATTGCACTTTTATGATCCGACTTTGTAGTCTACTATACTGTTTTTTTAATCTTTTTTCTTTATTCAGGAATAGTAGCACTTTTGACTTGTGTTGCCTTTCTGAGTTACATGATGGTCATTATTTTTTTTGGTGGAAATAAGTTTTGTAAGATCCTTGTTGCTTTATCCTTGTCCTCTTTCTTAATCGCAGCTTCATACCAGAACTCTCAGGGAACTCAAAATGACAGTGATCCAAGTAACACTACTGTGGGTACTTTTCCCTTAAGAGTTTCATCTAAGTTGTACTTGATAATATTTTGACTTTGATTTTAAATCTATTTTTTCAGATTTTTGTCGGCAATCTGGATTCTAATGTTTCTGATGAAATTTTGAGACAAACGTTTAGTCCCTATGGGGAATTGGTCCATGTAAAAATACCTATGGGCAAGCAATGTGGATTTGTTCAATTTACTAACAGGTTTGCATGGATTTTTGATACGGAGTACATCTTTAGTTACATGTGATTCTTGCAGGTCTGCATATGTGATTTGGAAGTTAATATAGTCTTACTAATTCTGCAGAAGTAGTGCTGAGGAAGCATTGAAAGCATTGAATGGAGTACAATTAGGTGGACGTAGTGTTAGACTCTCTTGGGGACGTAGTCCTTCAAACAGACCGGTATGTTTTCATTTCTTTTTGGGTGCTGACTGTTCAGTATAATGTATATTTGTCCTAGTCCTGAGCTAACTGGTTGAATGTATGCAGTCACAACCTGATCAGAGCCAGTGGAATAATTCTGCTTATTATGGATATCCACAAGGATACGACTCCTATGGATATGTGTCTGCGCCTCAAGATCCAAACATGTACTATGGTGGTTATCCTGGATATGGTGGTTACCCAATGCCTCAGCAGGCACAGATGCCATTGCAACAGCAACAGGTTAGTTGATGTTCATATTATAGTCAGTAAGTGTTAGCAGCTTAGCATGTCTTCTTTGTAGAGGTTTTTGGGTTTCTATGGAACAAGTTTGATACTTTTGGATGCTTCACCTATGAAGCATTTTAAATGTATTTAAAACGATGGCTGTTCATGTTGTGCTGTTGCAACTTTAAAGTCGCAGTTCTGGAGCCCCTTGTTTCCAGTTTGTTTGTTTGTTTGAATCTTATAGATCTTTCTTATGCTTAGTTTTCTGGTTCTTAAAAGTTTTCTCCGGAGCTTTCTTGTTAAAAATCTCATTACGTTTGTTTATTGTGCAGTGATCCAGCTATGCTAAGTGGGATAAGTTGATTGCGTGGGAGCCTGTATTATTTCACCTGAGGCTGCTCTTCTGGAGCTATGGTCCCTCTCTGAAATGCTGAATGTAGTATACTCTGATTCTGCTGGTCAAATTTTCTTTTTTTTTTTTTTGGATTTCGCTCAAAGCTGCTTGTATGCAACTTGCTTTTGGTACGGCTCGCGTAATGTTCTTGAGATTCGTCATACATGGAATTTATATGGCTTGTGAGTTTTGATCATCATGGGTTATTTTTAAATTAGATTTATTTTCGATTTTAAATTTATTTGAATTTCTTTTTCAAGGAATAGTAAGGAGTAAGGACGTAAACAAAAGAATTTGTTGCCAAAAAAATTAGTGTAAGTTTTAGTTAAGATTTATGGAGTAGTAAGGACCTATGGGCCGTTGGGTACATGTTTACAAACCCTCAATTTTAAAGAAAAGCCTTATTAAAAAGAGTAAACAAGGGAATTGCGAATCTTGGAATTTATTTTATTGAAGGTGAATTTCTTTTTTAACCTAACAACTCATTGATAATATCATATATATTTTGTACTTCTTGCGTTTCACAGATATTACAACTATTATTATTTTAGAAAGCTTCACAAATATTGGAACATTTTTTTTTAATTTGCATTTGTTTTCTCTCCTCTCTATCTCTATCCATCTGTGCCCTATTCCCATATTGCAATATTCGGGGAATGAAAGAAGTGTTTATTTATTTATTTATTGATGGATAACTGTAGTATTATCCCTTGTATTAATGTTATATATATAAATGCATCAAGTTTAATAAGTATCTTCAACAAGTAAAGTGAATGGCTGTAAAAACAAAACTATAGTGTATCTTTCAGGGAAAAAAAACAAAAAAGTAATGAGCCTGTTCAGGACCATTATGCTCAGCCTCATTAAACTTTCAGAGCATCGATACGCACTGGTTTTTGCTGCACAAGCCAGCCTCGGAACATTTTGCTTCCAGAAACAGGGTCAACACAAAGCCAAAGGTTTGATATCAAATTTCAATTAATGAGATAAACAATGGAATGCAAGTCAGTAAACTTGACACGTCTTGTTAACAATTTTGTTTTGGTACTAAAATTTCTTAAGCCAAGCTATGTGCTGTACTAACTAAAAAAAATATTGGTTTAGTTCATTCTAAAACATTTAACCAACAAATGTGCAATATTTGGGACAGTCCAAACTCCAAACACACTGTACAAAGATGACAGACAAGCTGCGTAATCTCATTGTTTGAGCACAAACTTCAGGCCAGTGACTTGATCAACAAAGAAAACCTTCAATCCTATTATTTTTCCGGAGGGGAAATATATTCAATATGGTTTCTTCATGTTTAAGCATTTATCAGATGCTTCACTGAACAATTCCTGGACTTGCTTTAATTCCTTATCTGGGCAGAAAGAAGAAGAAAATGTGCAAACCAGTAAGACTCACTGCCATTAGCTTTGCTAAACTCCAGAAAAGTAGCATCAAATCTATTTAGGAAAACTTCCTACGAAAATCAAGCATCATATTCATTTCAGTTTAAGTAATAGATTCTGATAGACTGATAGTTACCACAGTAATAACTCACAGGCTACACAAGTAAAAATGTACACGTATAAGGTACACAGTACACAAGAAAGTAACCACCTTCATGGCCTAATGTATCAAGAATACTAGTTGATCCAATTCCTCAATTGAATATTTGACGAGAAGGCATATATACGAATTAGATTTTTTTTTGCCATGTTACATCTTTTCCACAGTACACGTTATAACAGAACCTAATGCTCTGCTTATTCTGGCTGCACAACTATTTAGAGTAAAATGATTCAATGGGGCAAAAACAATATCAATGTGGTTATAGATGTATCAACTGAACTAAAAGCTGTGTGCAGATGGTCAGGTGGTATACCAGGCAACTAGTAAAGCATAATCAACTGGTTCAAGTAGGAGGCAAAATTACAGATTATGAAAATTCTAAAATATTTCCAGTCAAGTATTCGAGTATAATTTATGACGGGCTTTATTTCACACAGGCAAAATCTAAAGAAAGAGTAGACAATGCAAATTAATACATATGGAATATAATTTATAGTAAAAAGCAAGCCATTACCAGCAGCTTCCAGTTGCTTCTGCAATTCTTGGCCAATAGCATCATTTTCTGCCTGGTAATATGTTAAGAAAGGTCACTTTAGCAGGCTCTATAGATTTCTATATTTCACAGCAAATTATTTACTAGACTACTAAAATACCTGAAGCTCAGCGATTCTTTTCAGTTGAGCCTCTTCACCTCCCTCAGCTAGTGGTAGGGCATTAACCAAAGCATCAAACTGTAAAAGAGCAAGTTAGAAAAAAATTAGTGAGGACACAAATTATTTGACAAGGCAGACGAGAAAATTATTCTAGGCATTTGATGGGTTAAAATACTCTCCCCAATCTAGAACTCCTCATCTCCCCAGCAAATTAAAAGAAAAGAAAAGCTTGCCATATCCGCACAGGTCTAAAAAATTACAAGTCAATAATATAAGACAAGAACAGATATTATATAATCCGTGGCAAGTCGCACCTTAACTGATACCCATTGCTATAAAGTATGACAGAAAACTCAAGAAGCAATCAAATCTTGAGAATAAGCCCTAAAACCTCTAAAGAACTCTATGGTAGAAACAGAGGAATAAGTTGAACCAAAATGGCAACATCATTTTCATCGTAAGGAAAATTAAAAAAACAAGATGAAAAAGGAGGAAGATGAACTCTATATCGGTATGCCCGTATGCCATGTGTGTGTGATTTTTTTTTTGGACAATGGTATGCCATGTTTATAATGGAAACCTGGTGGGCTAAAAGCTGCATTCCAGATTTCCAGTCATAAGTCTGCTGCTAAATGTTTCTTCTAATGGCCACCCCAATATTTATAATTCCTATGCTCAAAGCTTACACCTTTGATTTCATCTTTCCACAACTATTGAAGACTCTCCCCTTAGAGAGACGCCAATCCTTACAAGATCCAGAAAACAGAATCTCTTCATCATGTTCTAATCATTGAGACGGCACATCAAAACCATATAAATGTGCAAGAATACAAATTGGATCAACATAATATAAACAGCTTCTTTGCTATGCGTCTTACTCAAACTGAGCAGTTACTCTCTACTTGGTGAACCCTGTCACCACAAGTAGCTGCAATGAAATGTAGGCCTATTACGACTTCTTCAATCAATCAATCAAAGCTTTAATCCCATAAGTGGGGGTCGGCTACATAAACCAAAAATGATTATTTTGTATAGTCATCCACAAAAGTCTTCCTCCTCCATCCCGTACGATCAAATGCCTCATGTTCATGCAAATCCATATACTTTATATCCTTACTAACTCCTTCCAACCAAGTCATTTTTCGGTCTCCCTCTCCCTCGTTTAACCTCTCCATGGTACTCTTCGTACCGGTGCACCCTTGGGTAATTAAATTAAGTGAAGAAAAAATGGTCTAACATTTTTGGACAGAGTTATCATACACACCGAGCCAACGAATTCCTACTCATTGACTCAAGAAAGTCATTCTAGTATAAAATCACAAATCCAGGATTACCATTAACAACCCAATATGTATATAGGAAGTCTCAAGAGCTCCGCACATAAGCAATCTTTTCATAAGCTAATTGACACTAGCAAAAGAAGCCCGGCTCGATACATTGAAACTAGAATAACAACCCCAACAAAACACATAATTAACATCAATATTATGAGCCTATAATGGCACAATTCCAAACAATACAGTTCAATTTTCATCATATTTCACCCAAAAATGAATTAAAAAAGATACTTAAAAAGGGTAGAAGAAAAACAATAAACCCCAGGAAAATTTACCTGCTTTGCAGCCTTAACAAGAGCAGCACTGGCAGTTTTGGGTTCATCAGCAAAATTGGCGGAAGCATCAGGCGGTGGTTGTTGTTGCTGCTGCTGCCCTTGTTGGGGAGGATTGGGATTCGAATTATTTGAATTAGGGTTAGGGTTAGGATTAGGGTTCGAATTAGGAGGTTCAGGGTAATTAGGAGAGAGACGAACAGGAGGAGCATCTCTTTGTAAAGTTCCGAAAGTATTGAATGCAAGTGATGCTATCAAATTTACTTGTTCTTGCAATTGCGATATTATATCCATCTTCTTCCCTTCATTTTTCGATCGAATTTGCAGTAAATTAAAATCGAAAATTAGATCAAAAATTAAAATTAACTAGCAAATCAATTAAAAAATAACAAAGAGGGTATAAGTGAGAGAGATTAAGAGTACTTACTTGTGAAGATTCGCGGACTGTTTTCTGCAAATTCGAAGAGAGAGCTCTGTAATTTTGAGAAGAGGAACGAAGAAGATGATTAGCTGATTGCTGTAGTTGTAGGGCTTGTTTGATGATGTTTGCGCACAATTTTTTTTTTTTTTTTTTTTTTTAAGTATTACACTTCTTAAATGCGATCATATATATGACTTATTACTATGGGACATTATTACAGTTAAAATGAATTATGCATAATTACTCAATCGGGCTAACAAATTATCACATAGTTTGTCCTAATTAATCGAGCATTCTTAATCTCTTATTGTTCAATTTAATTGAAGTTGCAATTAGAAAAATGTGGTCGGATATATATATATATATATATATATATATATATATATATATATATAAATATATATATATATATATATAAAGACTACTTACTGTTCTCCCTCTGCCTAATTTATCATTTATACACGAAATAGTTCAAGCTAATAATCATGCATATAGAGGTCACAAAGATTGTTTCAATTTTTAACAAGCATGCAACATCTCAATTGAAGGAAAAATTCATTGATGTTCATCCTAGCTTGTTATAGCTATGCATGAAACCACCTTTGTCTACAGATTTATGTAAACATTTTGCGACAGCAAGCATCACTAAACAGAATTTAAATGAGAATCATACAATTGATACAAAGACACGAGTGTAGATGAGAAAGAACTGTCAGAGTAGATTACTACAATAAGGAAACATAAACTAAAAATTGTTCATATAACCTACTAAAAGCAAAGCAAAGAAAATCTTAAGCCAGCAGCCTTCCAAACAGTAACAATCCCACATAACCAAGGAATCTTGGTCTTAACATTGTCGACAGTGTCAGAGCTTTCAACCTCCAAGGTAATTGAAGCACCAAGTGGAGGGTAGACTCCTTCTGGATGCTGTTTTCCAGCGAAGATCAGACGCTGCTGATCTGGGGGAATCCCCTCTTTATCTTGAATTTTGGTCTTAACATTATCAATCGTATCAGAACTCTCGACCTCGAGAGTGATGGACTTGCCAGTTAGGGTTTTGACAAAAACTTGCATCATCTAAACCATTCAAAACAATAATCAATTGTGTAATAAGTACAACTAGCATCGCCAAAAGTGCAAATTTATTTTACCCCATGATAGAGAACCTTCTAGAATTTTATTTAATTATTCTTCAGCTTTTTGTCTAATCCAAATTTTAAATAAGGTAAATGGGTAGTTACCAAAAGTGCACGTTTCGTCAACATGAAGATTAAATTTCTATAGGAAGTTTTAATTTATTTATAGGAAGCTATTTCACTTTACTAAATTCCTATAAATTTTCCGAGACTTGGTAATTTATTATCCATGTTGTATATTATGCATTCATGCACCATATTAAAATAAGTTCAACCAAGCTATGACCAATATAAAGGGTGATCATATTTTAAAACAGGATTTGATATATTACGATATACGAGTATTGGGTGCAACAAAAGAGTGATGTGATGTGTCTATATTTCTTTTGCCTTTGCAAACTTGCCTTAGAAATCATGGCTAAGATATTGATCAAATTAGATTCTAAGTTTGAAACTCCCATCTCTAAAACACTTGCTAAAAATGAAAGCTCAAAATTTAGGGTCACTCCATACTATTATGTGATGATGTTGGTCTGTACTCTGTAGAATATGGCGAGCCAATCTTACTGGGGTTCTACACTTTGCATAATCTTGATAACAACTTATCGAGTATAGACTATGACACTTCATATTGAATCAAATCGTGAAAGACTTCACGGAGTTCTAACACTTGCTCAATTGTACCTATGTTTGACAGATTGGAACGAATCAGAACAACACAAAACGTGGGTACCGATCCCCTAAGATGATAATTCAAAATGCAATCGTTATGAAAATAGATACAATTTACAAATCATATAGAAAGTTTAATGTTTTGTAAATGGCAGTGGAAACCCTGCATTGCAGCCTTTGTTGAGGGAATTTACAACTAAGAACCTGCATATATACATGACAACCGATCAAACTGTGGTCTATTATCTCTATAATCCAAAAGTTGATATAGTTCTAAGTCTAAAACATGAAACATCCTATAAGACAGAAAAATGCACCAGAATATAAGAACTGTTTACCAGGTGATTACAACATATATAAAACTAAGTTTTTCATCAAAGCCATGAAAAGTTCAGTTCCTACAAGTTCAACTGTGAAAACCATAAAACAATCAAGAAAAATCTAACCAAAACGATCAGCCCAAGCAGTCAGGAGGGTCTAATTCTATCTAATTTGATATCTGCGATGACCAAAAAATATCATAAAAAGAGCAATTAGAATCATTAATTCCCCTAATCATTCGTCTCCCCCCTTTTCAGTTTCCATTGGGCTAATGTCATTAGGTGGTTCAGACAATTCATCTTCATCGTCTGGATTCTCCATGCTAATCTGAAACCCTGAAGTTGTACAAATGTCCTGCTCCATGACTGTCGGAGCATCGACTGATGAGTCTTTCAGGGAAATTGCGATTTGAGGAGGACTAATATTTGCTTCCTTAAGCAAAACAGTATTATTAGCTTCTTCAACAGGCTTGACAGCATCCTCGGAATTCTCATTAGTGACATCAGCATCATGTTGTATTATATCCTCCTCTTTTGAGAGACTCACAGTCGTTTCATCTGTCTTCTGCCTCTTCACCGGAGGCTCTGACAAGTCTTTCAGACTCTCCATTTTAGCAGAGACCTCCTCAATGATCTCGGCTCCTAGTGATAGCTTCTCCTGCTGTTCCTTATCATCAGATAAATTGTCCTGCTGTTCCTTATCATCTGACGCTTTCTCCTGCTGCCCCTTATCTTCTGACGCTTTCTCCTGCTGCTCCTTATCTTCTGACGCTTTCTCCTGTTCCTTGTCATCTGAAGCTTTCTCCTGTTGTTCTTTATCCTCTGATTGCCCCTTCTGAGTGACACTTGGGGAAGGGATCTTTTCTTGCTGTTGGATTTCGATGTTTTCAGCTGGATTCAAAGAAGAATTACGAGCAGTTTGTTCAGCTACCTGAGGGATGACATTCATCGAGGGGATTGGGAAATCTTTTCTCTTATGCATCTTAGTATTGGGAGCAATATCATTTTCAGGGGTAACAGGAACAATACATTCTTCCTTGAACACAACGCCTCGCATGTATACGTTACTGTCCCCAACTCTGACTGAAAGGAAATACCCTGCATCGAAGGCATACTCTAGGACTCCTGTAACCACCTGCCCTACCATCTCATCATATTCCTGATCATCATCATCATCATCATCGATATCTTCAATACTTTCTTTTCCTTTTGATGGAATGCTTGCTGTAGGTTTGAGTGTACTCGATCCCTCCCCTTGTATACTGGGAAACCTGGGAACTGGAGGTCTTGGAGGTGCTTGACTCTCATCCTTCCGAGGGCGCCCCCGTCTCCTTTTTGGTTGTGCCTCTGCTGGTATAGTAACTGTTCCTTGATTCATCAGTTGGCTCATTCTGCATGCACATACAAATCCAACTTCAGAGACAGCCTGATCTTTTTATTATTCAAACATAACATCATAATTTTAAAGTGAAGCATAAGATGTTAAAGAGAATTAAGCTCAACCTAGAAAACAAATAACACAAGTTCAATCCATAAGAAGACAGAATACAGCAATTCAGTTTAGAATTCTCTCAACTATTACCTGTTATAACGAAATTTTCTTCCTGTTGATTTAAAAGATTAATGAATTGGAAAGTAAGATGTGCTTCCAAAAAAAAAAAAAAAAAAAAAAAGGCCAGAAACTGTGGATTTTATGTGACAAACATAACCATATGCTAAATTAACCAAAATTCATGTCTCTCATTTCTTTAACCTCTTTTAATGCAAAGAATCTGACAAGGAAGAAATGCACATTGAACTAGAGATTCCATCGTATCATCGCTTCAAATTACATGACTTGGCATCACTAACACACACAACACACGTACACGAAATGCTAACAAAACAATCCTCCGTTCCACATCTCATAATCATAAATAATGTCACTTTGATAAGACTTAATCATATACCATAACTATTAAGAAAAGGCGATAACTTTTTCCAAACATCCTAAAATTGTATCGGACACATAATGTAACTCGTAAAGAGATAGCGCAAAGCAAACTTCTATTAAAGAAAAGCTCATCTACTGATTAAAGTCTTAAAGATGCTTTTGCAGCTTTAACAAAACAGGGGAAATGTTACTGCTAACAAGGTTTACAAAAACAGGACAACCAAACTTCTCAAGAAACTAGTACGTCTAATGGTAGTCACCATAACGCCATTACGTATACCCGAACTCGAACCGAGTTCATCGTACTCAATCCAGCGTTGAACATACTAAAAAACCAACATGATATTGTCTCTAATTTCACCAAACATCTTCAAATTAACCGTTTAATATTGACACAAAATTTCCTAGAAATGTGATCTTGAATTTTTATATACGATGATAATGCATTATGTTACATAAACAAGAAACTTTAATCATCATAAAATTAATCTAAACATACACAACCTAGCGTAAAAATCATCATTATATGAGTAATCTTCTAAGAAAGCAAAGATTAAAAAAATAAATGAATAAAAAATGCCCAAGAATATGATGAATGTGTTCTTTATTAATAGTAAATATTATATAAATCACTATAATTATTCAAGATCAAATCATTTTGAAGAGAAAAATTAAAGAAAAATAATGGGTAGTATCATACCTGTAAAAGTTGCCTTCTTGTAATCACTGTGAATTTGCTAATTTGCAGTGAAAATTATGAAAAATTAAGTCACGAAATTAAGAAGATTTGCGTAATGTTGCGACGCTTAAAATCTCCAACAAAATGGTAAAGAGTGAAAGATATGAAGAAATTTAATTTTTGTTTGATGGTGCAACCCAGAAAAATGATATGGGATGATGAAATGGGAAAATTGAGTATTGAATGAATATATTTATAGCTCCTTATAAAGTTTCACCTTTCACTTAATGCTCAAGTTTGAGAAATCCCAAATAAACTTTTTCTCACCAAATGGGTTGGGAACAAAATGGGCTAGGGTTATTTGGTGTAAAATTCCGATCTTGGCCCGAACTTGAAATATGGATCGAATTGGATAGGCATATTGAATAATTCCGTTTCATATTGATCTTATCATTTTGATCAATTTCAATATGAAAGTGAAGGAGTAATAGTTTACTTTTCAAACATCAATATGAGTTCATAATTTCACAAGGTATTTTATACAGCTTTATAATCCTTATTTTTCAATGAGTTTGAAATTTTTAATACTAGTATAAACCAAGGTGCAAGGTGTACTCAAATTTAGCTTTACTCACTTAATGATTATATATTTATATGAGCATAACAATCAAAATTTTTTTTTTAAAAAAGTTTGGATGCACCTTTTATTCGAGTGTCTTTGTGAATTTTCTAGTTTTGGTATAATACTCTATCGAGTATTTTATTAACATGCACGAGAAAAATAGAAGGCATTAGGAGAATTTGTTGTACAAATATGTTCTGTTATAAGTGATATAGTTTGGTTGTGTACTTTTGTCGAGTTAGCTTTCTTTATCTGGTTGCTGTATTGCTTTTGGTGACCATTTCTTAGCAAGTCGTATTGCATTTTTTGTACAATCTTTGAATTGTGCCAAACATGATTGAAGAAGTTTTCACAAACTTAACATGATTAACGAAGGTTTCACAAACTTGTCATTGGATTAGGCTGGCCTAACGACAGCCTAACATAACTTGAAAAAGCCCTATCCAACTTGAGCTAACCAAAGCACCACCTAACAAAGTTTGATTTTGTTGGATCACATCTTTTTAGGCACAAGCCACACAACCATACCAACCCGAAAAATGTTAAACATGACATAAGGTGCATTTTATATTCTCATTTTAACTTATCATAACTCATAACTTATTAAAACTTATTTTAGGTATAAAATGAACTAAAGTTAACCTTTATTAGTTATTAAAAGAATTACTTAAACTTTTTTCAAAAATCCTTTTTCAAAAGAATTACTTAAACTTATTTTTTCTATAACCCTTGTCTAAACCTATATAGTCTGAAATAAGCAAATCTAACCCAACTCCAATAAATAGACCGTGATTTCAACAGTACGTGGCATGCGCCCCTGCCTAGCCAAGTACCCGAGTCTAAAGCATCACCAATCCAACACGGCCAATGCCAATCCTTTTCACCCCATCGAACTAACCAAGGGTCAAGAGTGCCCAAAAATCCAAGATGAACTGAAATTCTGGAAACCGCCAAATGATCCAAGATGGTTCGTGTCATCCACGAGTCTCCCAAATTTCATAGCCACATAAAATAAAACCATTACTAGAAATTTAGATTTTCTCCTAAAATTACTTCCACTCAAAAACTTCATCTTCTTCGATAATTATTCATTCTGCAGAAAAAAAAATTCAGCCATGGCATCTCTACTAGCAAACACCATCTCTCGTTTCTCTCTCCAACCCTCTTGCGACCCACCATCATCGACCTTAATTCATCAAAATCCCAATACCCTAAAACCCAGATTCCCAAATCTCACAAAAATCAGAGCTGAAATTGGGTACGATTCAAGCGCAACAATTACTACTGAACCAGGTAATAAATCTATTTCTCCTGCTTTAATTCCTAAAAATGAAGATGACCCACTTCAGAGATTCCTTAAAAGGGAGTATAAATGGGGTTTTAGTGAAAAAATTGATTCTTTTACGATTCCAAAAGGGTTATCTGAAGAAACAGTTAAGTTAATTTCTGCCCTAAAGGAAGAACCTGATTGGATGCTTGAGTTTCGATTGAGTTCATATCGTAAATTTTTGAAGATGGTTGAACCGAAATGGTCAGATAATCGATACCCACCAATTAATTTTCAGGATTTATGTTATTATTCTGCACCTAAGAAAAAACCCACTTTGAATAGCTTAGATGAAGCTGATCCTGAGCTTCTTAAGTATTTTGATAAATTGGGTGTGCCTTTGAATGAAAGGAATCGTTTAGCTAATGTTAGTGGTAGAAATGTGGCTGTTGATGCTGTTCTTGATAGTGTTTCGATTGCGACTACACATAGGAAGACATTAGAGAAATCGGGGGTGATCTTTTGCTCGATTTCGGAGGCGATAAGGGAGTATCCTGATTTAGTTAAGAAGTATTTGGGGAGGGTTGTGCCTTGTGATGATAATTACTATGCTGCTTTGAACTCAGCTGTGTTTAGTGATGGGTCATTTGTTTATATACCTAAGGGTACTAGGTGCCCTATGCAAATTTCGACTTATTTTAGGATTAATGCCTTTGAAACGGGGCAATTCGAGAGGACTTTGATTGTTGCTGATGAGGGTAGTTTTGTTGAGTACTTGGAGGGGTGTACAGCCCCTTCATATGACACAAATCAATTGCACGCGGCTGTGGTTGAGTTGTATGCTGATGATGATGCGGAGATCAAGTACTCTACGGTACAGAATTGGTATGCTGGTGATGAAGAAGGGAAAGGGGGGATCTACAATTTTGTTACTAAGAGAGGATTGTGTTCAGGGCAAAGATCAAAGATATCATGGACACAGGTGGAGACAGGGTCAGCTATTACTTGGAAGTACCCGAGTGTTGTTTTGGAGGGAGATGACTCGGTGGGTGAGTTTTATTCTGTGGCTTTGACTAACAATTACCAACAGGCTGATACTGGGACAAAGATGATACATAAGGGCAAGAATACTAGAAGTAGAATTATATCCAAGGGAATTTCAGCTGGGAATTCAAGAAATGTGTATAGAGGGTTAGTTCAGGTCCAGTCGAAGGCATATAATGCTCGGAATTCCTCACAATGTGATTCTATGCTTATTGGGGATAAAGCTGCTGCAAACACCTATCCGTATATTCAGGTATTTCCTCGAAGATGCCATGTGTTCTTGTTCTTTTCATTTTACATGTTGCATGTGTACATTCAGTGAGTTTGCTTATTTGGTATTGTTGACTGTTGAGGATTTGAATTATAATTGTCTGAACTTTGTTTTTGGTTTAAGGTTATTTTGGATTGCCTTTAAGCTGTATTATATTTGACAGGCCACTAAATATTGCTGATGTTCTTAGCAATAGAGTTCCATTAACCCCCCCCCCCCCCCCCCCCCAATATGGCCATATGGTTAGTTGTGAAGAAAAAAAGAGCTTACATGTTTACAAAGACAATACTGAAGTTGGTCAATGATAATATGACAATTGTTATGCTATTTTAGACTAATAGGGACACTTTCAAATAGATGCGCCTTCTTATACTTGGTTATTTCAACAAAATTCACCTTATCTAAACTTTTTAATTATAATGTATTTGAACTTATTTATAGCTGTAAAGTGAATTTGTTAGCCCTTATCAGAACTTATTGATCCTCACCGGAAATTATTCTAAAAAATGCCTAATAATTAACTTGCGACAAAACAAAAGGACTTGGAGTGAGTTATATTATTTCTATACTTAAT